TTATTCCGGCTGGTGTTTCATTATATATATAGAGGGAGAGCAATTGAATCGACGTAACATTTTGTTTTTCGGCTTTGTTGAACGTGTAAAATTCACATTTTTATACACGGATGCAACACTTCTTTGCCAAAATATATATGACATATAATAACAAAATATATTAGTCTTATAGGAATTAATGTTTTCTTGCAAATAACTATTTTTTAAGACGATTGATGATTGATGCTTCTAGAAACTAGACTTCAAAACCGACATAGCCGTAATAGTATCGCGGTTATGTGGGTATTATATTCTTTTCTATATGATTTATATATATTTTATGCAGTGTATGTGTGTGTATATGTTATATATATATATATATATTATTCTCACAATAGTGCATTGAGATAACGGAGATTCATATCGACGAATAAAAGTCACGACGGTTGATTATGTCCAACTAATCTTTCCCATTATCATTAATTTTTATCGGCGTTCTTATGGTGGAAATCGTTGCTAACGGAGAAACGAGGACGATATTGTACATCGTAATGACCCTTTAGATTTCACTTTGTCGTGTTCGGCGCGTTAAAATTTTTACGTTGCAAACGCGTTTAATTACAAATTTTTCACGGGGGTTACAGTATTAATCTGACTTTTTTCCGGCATAATGATCCATGCGATTATACGCGATATAATAATCCATTATATAAAACCATTTCGTGTAAAGCCCCGGTAACGTGTACTAGCTGATTCGTTTGGCGTGGTAATTACAGCCACCGCGTGTAGCAGTTTATTTTCCCTTTCGGGATCGTCTAATCAAAAGGGGAGACTCTCTCTCTCTCTCTCGCGGTACGTTCATCCGGGCACGGATAGGGACGGGGTAAAAGCTATCGTATTAAAGTCGTTTCTGTCGCAGTACGGCGTCTCATTTTGCGTCCGAGAAAAAGGATTAAATCGCGGTTTCCGCCGGTCGCCGTGTGATTACCTCGCGTGTGCAATGGGCGACGTGTGACGGGAAATAATGCCGCGGAAAGCGGCGGCGCGTTAGTCCCGTATACTTCGCCGGTGAGGATTATTTAGGTAGTGATGCAAACACCTTGCGTACACTTCGCGAACGTACGACCGTGTGTCGACGCAACCGCAATTGCAAGCCAAGAGAGGCGATGCACCCGGACGGAAATAAAAGAATCGAGTTTTCCTACACGATACTTTATTCGCACCGCGCCGTCCCGTAAAGAACTCGAAGTGCCTCACAAACTGGAGAAAAGAAGAGATTGTGTAACTTCGGCAATGCGAGACCGATATCTTTCGACAAGACAGTAATTTGTTTTCGATACTTCCCTTTATATATTGGATTAACAGAAGGAATAAAAGTAAATCGCCGTCTTTCAGAGTAGACGACTTTAGCTCTGAAAAGGCTTGACGTCTCTGTTCGCAATTTATATTCTTCCCGTTTGGCTTGAATTTTTAGAGAAAGGATCATCTTCGAGCGTAAACAAATTAACTACCACTCATCGTTGGCAATATTAAACTTATTGCTGTTGTTGCTATACCCGCCCAATTAAGGAGGTTACAAGCGTCGTATTTTCAGCAGCGAGCATCAAGGGAGTCACTTATAAATTTAATATTTGTCGAGCAAAATTATGTTTATACATGTATTTCATTATATAAATAATAAATATTAATTTGAAACAAAGTCGGGGTAAACATATTGAATATTCACAATATTACAAATACGAAAATGTTATTTTGTATTTTTCTTAACGCTATATTCATGTATCAGTTGATTTAACAGAGAGGCATAAATAATCTTATTATTCGTTTACAGAGAAGATACTAAAAATAGAAATTAAAAATATGCTAATCTCAAAGAAAAAGTGTCAATCTTAGTTGAAAATATTTCACCTCTCGAACGGTTGATCCTTTATAATTGGAGGAGCAGTTAGATAATACGTCAATGTATACGTGGTGCAAGTTTCATGGAATTCCCATCAAACTCATTTCACTCCATAACTTCCCTCAAAGAACCCCTCGATTCTACGGCAATCGCGGCCGACTCATCAATTATAATTCTTCCTACAATCTGTCGTCACGGGACCTCCGGTCGAGTCGCGATATTTCTGCGGTAGGTCCGCGACACGACGCACGCACGCACGCACGCATCGTCGTGTTTTCCTCGGTGTCGAGTTGGGCGAGTGGGCGCGATTAACCGGTAAGGTGATCACCGTTGATGAGCGCTTCGCCAGCAAGAGAATGAATAATAGACCACTCGGAGAAAACACGTTCTGATTGAGTTAACCGTCGGTATACGTCATTATAGCGACGCGACGACTCGTCGGTCTCTCGACACCAAGGCCAACCGCCGCGGCGTAATCTCGGTGCCATATTCAGGTCGTTCTTAATTAACCTGCCGTGTATTCTCTCAGGTGGGGTATGACAAATCCGCGTGTCGTTCGCGTTTCCCTGCGTCCGGCCGCCGTAATCCCATAAAACTTGGAGGATCCACGGTCTTCTCGCGATCGGGTCGGGCTTTACACTCGAGCTGTCTCGCCTACGTTACTTTGTTCTTGCCGTCCCGAATGCAAGAAGACGCGGTCGCCCGTTATTGCGACACGACACGTGGAGACACGAAACGGAACTGACCAATTAACAGTCGTAATGTGCGAATACACAGTCACGGTACATCCGACACGAAAATGCTCGGTAATTCCATATCTAATGAGGGTGATGTCGAGGCAATTATGTTCACACAGAAAAATTCTACTTCTATTTAAAATCCATTCTACGTCTGGGAAAAGCGATTACTCAGTTTACCTTCCTTCTTCTAAGTAATGGTTATCCTTAACAAAGTGTATTCCTTTGGTAACAATGTTAAAATATACCAATCACAAATTTCAAGAAAAGCTCGTCACATATTCAAAATAAAGAGTTTATTCTCTTTTCGAGAATATTATATAAGTTTATCGTGCGAAGGAAAAGTTAAATCCAGTTAACTTAAATGAATAACGCGATTTTTGTTTTCATTTAATATTCTTGATCGAAATGCCAAAAGATATTAGGATTCACGATACATCTCAAATCAATTTGATGCTTATGATGAACCAGTGATATAGTCGCGGATATATAAACTTATGAAATACTTGAAACGAATAACATTTACTTGTATGCGGCACGTATTTTTCTACGTGCAGTATCTCGACGGGCTCGCTTGTCAGTATGAATGATCTCGGTGGCAAGGAAGGTGGTAACTCAAAAATATAAAATTTTCTACAAACCACGTACACCCACCCACACATATACACACTTGTTGCTCATCATCGTGTTGTGTGCCGAGAGAGATGGAATTTCAAGCTGGAGCGAAATTTTTGCCACGATATTACGTATGTCACGGTGCGATTCCAGGCGCCGTGCGCGCTTCGTCATCCATCGTTTCCGTCATTAGCGATTAGCTACCGATCGCCGTATCTTCCCCGTTGTCGGCGACCATCGTCGGTGGAGCGCGACGATTAACATTTCGCGCGGCGCGCTTTATGCCCGCCACTTATATATATCAAGCGGCATTATCTTATTTACGGTACGCTGTAATGGCACTGTGTTTGCGGCCGTAAATTGCCGCGGAACGTCTCTCGAGCTGACACGTAACAACGGCGTGTAGCCCCTCACGGCCATTACGGGCATCGGCCTGCGGCCTTCCAACTTGGACGCGTTTTAACTCCACGCGGAGCATCGCGCATCGATCATGAGATTCATGAGCGTCGTCAGCTGGAGCCGTTGACTCCCCCCTCTCTCTCCACCCTACCTTTCTTGCTCTCCCTTTCTTATTCGTCTTTCCTCTCGCCTCGGCCGCCTTTCGCTCGCGAATCGATATTCGCCAATTACGGCGATCCGCTCGGCGAAATCAGGCGGAGGCGAAGGAGATCATCTTGTTACCTTACACATCGCGAAATATTAGAGCAGCTCGCGTGAGATATTGAAACCCACCGTCGTAAATCTTGGTATTTCACTCACCGAAATACCAGGAACTCGCGATCGGCTGCAGGATCGCGGCAGAACACGCGTTCCGCTACCAAAGACAACTTTAATAATAAATATAGCGTCGCCGGTTAGATATGAGAATTAAAAACTTAATGAGGAAAATATGCGTGAGTATGAGTGTGTTAATTTTTAGCTATCGTTGTGACTCGGCGACTTTTATGCTTGAACAACTATACCCCAGTTTTCTCGCGGAAATACTGCAAATGTATGTAATTTTTATTCATTTACATATGTAAAATCGTGTAGTTAATTTTTACATATTTTTACGTGCATTATTTTGCTACACGTTTCACCTGTGTTATTTACGCAGTTAAATGCGTACATTTTCTACGCTCACATATTAAATTACACATTTAAAACGTATAATTTATGTGTAAGGATTTCATATTTCCTTATCCTCTCTCATGTTTTATGTATCATTGATGAGCCACGAACGTACTGAATTTTATGAATAAAACGTGATTTTTTCAAATTTATACGTATATGAAAGGAGCAGCCTTTTTATGGCCATTTGGCCACTATTTTCCTCTTGGTTTGTAGCACTTACACTCACCATGACCATAAAGTCATTTATTATTATCATTATTATTATACGCTTTTTTCTAGTACAAGTGAATGGTATATATTAAATATATATATCGCTATGCGAATGAATGTGATATCCGTCATAACATTTTCTCAATACCGCATTCCATTATTATCGAGACCCGTCTATTTATGATTAATATTAATATCGTTTGTAACCCGTTGATTGTGCTCGAGACTTTCAAGAATCCCAAGGTTTCCCCGAGTTTCCGAGACTTTTACCGTGCGCACGCTACTGTGAATTTCCCAGGAGCTCCCAGACCGAGAATTCCCAACTTGATGCGGTGTTAGGGGCGATTCGAGGCTCTCGAAATGATTCGTCGTTAGCTCGTTAGCCCATCACACCGGCCGCGATACGATCGGGCGAGAATAACGAACGGCTCGTGTTCTTGTTTCAGGTTGCGACACGACCTTGGAGCCCGGATCAGGGCAAGACGCGGGAGATGACCAAGCTCTGCAACCATAAGAGGAAACTTCTGCTGCCGGCCGCGGCCGCCAGTCCTGTTGCGTCCTGTACACCGGCGGTCTCATCGTCGACTTTATCTTCTGGCCCGACAACGGCCTCGATTCACGCGAACGCCGACTCGCCCACGTCGCCGGATAAAGCCAGAAAAGGTAAGAATGCCACCGCGAGAAGTACTAAACGATCCGATTATTCCCGAATCGAAATTTTGGCCCTGTGTCAAACCTTTAATTCTACAAGGATAGTAGGAACTAAGACAGCGGAATAAGTGCAATTTCAGTTTTAACACGTTGACTGCCACGCTGATTTCCATCGATCGTACAAACGCCTAATTGATTCAATTAAATCACTAAAGCTGCAGTAAATAAATATAATTCAGGATACGCATCTGTTAGCTTGTTTCATTAGCTCATTACTGGCTGTACAACCTATTTTGTAGATGCAATTAATTATACGTCACACGTAATTTAATAAAACGCGGTAACATCATAGCGCCTGTCACCGGTGACCCCCGTGGCAGTCAACGTGTTAATAATATAATATAACCCCCACATTGATTTTGATGATGTTTCTGTTTTCGCTATTTTAGCGTCAGTACGGATCGTTAGGGATAGCATTAAAATTCGACCTTTAGAATTAAAAGTTCAAGAGAGAAGTTGAAAAAAAATGTCAATAACATCAGAGTAAGTTTTCATTAATCTATTAGGCCGTCTAAGTAAACGCAAACTATTCTTAAGAGCATCAGAGTAGCATCCAAATTTCGACTCGAATTCGGACGGCCAATTGAGCGCGAGACATCGCGTCGGCGGAGAAGTGCGGTAATTTGAGAACTCGAGTACAATAGTTCGTGAGACGAAAAAATACGGATTAAAATTTTCAACGGATTAAGCCGTTACCCGGGTAAAAGGGATAATCTAATAAAAATTGTGCGGTTTTTACAGCGATTATGGCACACGCTTGACGTAAATAATAATCGAATGGCAAGGGGAGAGAATTGCGCAGACAATGTCGCTGAATTTTCGTGAAATAATGCAAGAATTGAACTCTGTCGGAGAAATAAAGCCGAGCCGTTTTAAACACATTGCATGCGGGAAACGTACTTTTACGTTTTTCGCAGTCTGTCACTAGAGCCCGGGTCACGTAAAAGTATGTATTCAGTAGATTTGTGCCGGAGAGCGGGTATCGTATAAATACGATGGGCATTGTAAGTGTGTACGTTTTCTTTTTAATAATCGTAGAGCATATATTTAAATGTAAAATAAAAGAAGTTTGAAAAGAACGAAGTAGTGATCGATTTATTGCGATTTTACTGAATACTCCCGCGAAATTCACGGAAAAAACGCCTGCTACACGCGTAAGTTCGCGGCGAAATATACCCGCATGCAATGTGTTAATAGTCTAGGCGAAGGCTTGCGCGATTGAACAAGCACTCGCGCGCTCTTGTCGCAGGTAACTTCGCAATTTTCTTGCGCGTCGGACGAAGCGCTCCGCGATCGATCGGAATCTCGAGACGCATCAACGTCCGTTTTCATAATCCCGACGACTGCTCTTCCGGCAGCCAAACCCCACCGCGCGCACCACATACACGTGTACACGGTGTTCTCGCGAGCGCGAAACTTTCTTCATCGATCCGACGTATTAACAAAGTTTTCTGTCAAGTCGGACGTCGAACCGGCGGTGCCATAATCGCCGAGACGTTTATTCACCGTCGCGCGGGAACACGTGCCAACTTTTATTGGAGGAAGACCAAAAGTTTTTCCACCCCGTCAAGTGAGCCGTGATCATTAGGGAAAAAAGTCGACGGTGGAAGAAGGACGACGAAATTGCGGCATTAGCGAAGTCCCGTTCGCCTACCACCTACCACCGCCACCCTCTCCTCTCATCGGGATCGTCCTTTCTTTGCCCGCCACGTTGGCATTAAAGCTCGGGAAGCGCGGCGAAGAGCGAGACGAGGGGGTGCCGGCGGGGTGGAATGATGTATCACCATAGCCGCCAAACTCTCCACCGAATTTCATTACCAAATCCCATAACCGACGTACCCCACCCCCGTCGTCGCTCCTTTCCTCATCCTCCTCTTCACCCCTCTTCTTCTTTTTCCCCTCCCCTTACTTTCGCGTCGTTAATTAAGCGGCTGTTGCAGGACGCGGCGTACATGCTCGCGGCGTACCTCCGCTCTACCTGTACTCCAAATTGCGTCGGCTAGAAATTATAATCCGCTTGTAGATTGAAAGCCAGCCGCGACCGCGGTTGGCGACCAACGGTTATTAAACTTTCACCCTGGGCGTCGTAACTGCGCATTTTAATATTATTCGCGGCGCGGAGAGTTGGGAACGCTTCCCCCTCTTCCCTCTCCGTTCTCCCTCTCGCGCTCTCATCGAATGTCGGATTACTCACACATCATCGCGGCGGCATATTTATAACGCGAACGTCGATGACGGAATTTCACGGTTTCGATCTCGCTCATGCAAATTTGTACTTCGGCCTGCCGAACATGTTATGCACAACGAAGAGAGATGAAAAACATTACATTTGCGTATCACCGAAACCGATAATTTAAATAATAAAATCCTATTCAGTTTGTTGATTTCCAGCGAGTGGAGAATTCGCACTTGACACCGTCGGACAAAACCTTTTCGACTATGGGAGAGAGATATATAGGGTGTTCCAGAATTAACTATGTTTTTAACATGACAGATTCTTTGGGACATTCTAAGACCAAAGTTCAAGTACGAAAAATCAGCGACTTTTCTATTTTCAACTTAACATATCTTTGTAACTAAAGCCTGAAGTAAACTTCTATGAAAGGAAAGTCCATTTGAAATTGATCGAGCAATATCATTTTATTATTATCCAGTCGGTCATATACACACACACATACACAAGTTTATTTTGCGAGGAACCTCCCCGCTTTTTCGATCACTTGTACCTCAGAAGTTATTAATGCCCCGATATTTTCGTATTTGAACTTTCGTTTTAGAATGCACTAAAGAATCTCTGTCATGTTAATCAACATACGTTGGTTTTGGGATATTCTATATAGAACCAATGAAACTTCGCAAAATTGTTTCCCTTTATTATCTGAATTTTCGACATGCGATATTTTCCTCTGCATAGATGCATAATATATTCTAGCACTTCTACAATACTTTTTGTCTCCTTTCTAACACAACGGTCAACGGGGCAACACTAACAACACAGCCGAATAAATCGAATCACTGTGTTCGCGCTCGTAAATAGATTAGCACGATGCGTTCCATTGCGTAGACGCGGTGGGTCCGCCGAGTGGACGGTTTCGCGTTTGCGTCTGGAAATCTGGGCTGAAGTTTAACTTGAGTTTATGGCCGGTGTGTAAGGTAGAGGATATACATGTCGGTGGCAGTGTTTTTATGGGAGTTTATAGGGTCGTTTTAACATCGACGCACGCGCCCACGCCGCTTCGATTCCAATTCTCTGGTGATATAAAACGACACGCCGGATGGGGTTAGTTTTTTCTCTCCCCCGACTTTATTCCCTCCGCCGCGCCATCGAGGAGGGTTTGACGCGGTCTGCGCAAACACGCACAACCCCGCCCGCCTGCGACGAGGGCTGAGAACGGCAAGGGGAATAAGTGGAGAGGTTCGAATGAATCTTTATCGCTGAACGCGAGCTCCAAGTTTTTATAACGCTCTCTCTCCCCCTCTGGGAGCCGATTTAATTTCCCCTTTTTCCGATTTTCAGTTTGACTTTGTCGGCTGAAGGGGGATGATGGTCTTCTCTTACGTACGATGGATTACATACCGCGCTGGGAATAGGAATGATTAAACGCCTCTCCCTTTTCCTCCGTCCCGGCTTTATCGGTCACGAGAGCGGAGCGGAAATCAGAATTATCCGAAATACTTCGTCACTTAGTAAAGGTTTAATTATACGCGTAAAAGATATCACGCTTTAATTCGCGGCCTGAGTCGAGTGATATATTTTTTCTTGTATTTGTACGAAAACCGTGTACAAATACCCTTCCGCTGTGTGTATCGCAGAATGTAAAATATACCGCACTTGTCCGAGGGTTGATTAAAGCAATTAGACGACCCTCGTCGTTCTGTGTAGAGATCTTCAGAAAAATAAAAACACATGTCTAAAATAAATTTAATAGGTTGCTTGGTGAATATTGAATTAATCTATTCACGTAACATAATATCCTCGGTTATGGACACGCGCTAATTTATTGGAGATAGAATAGTAGAGAGAGTGAGAGAGAGTATAATCAATGTATAAAATGGGTAAAAGAAATAATAAATAAATAATAAAGTAACAAATAATAACGTGAAACATTTCTCAAGAAGAGAAACAACGTGTGCACACTGTAAAATAAACGAGTCGTGGGGTCGCATCCGACCCCAACCTTTACCGTTAGAAGGTTAATAGTTTGCTATTACTTAGACGGCCTATAGATTAATAAAAACCTATTTTCGCGATACTGACATTTTTTAACTTCTCTCTTGAATCTTCAATTCTACAAGTTGAATTTTAACGTTACTTCCAACAATCTATTTTGACGCTAAAACAACGAAAGCGGATTTAAGACATCATCAGAGTCGAAAAGTAGTGGTTGTATTATTTATTACAATTGAAATTATACGAACCTATTTTGCTGTCTTACATGTTATAGAATCGAAGATTTAATATACAGACGAAATTTCGTCTCGGGATAGATGCAATTTAATGAGGGCGACGGCGCGCCCCGCGATTATTGACTCGGTAACAATAGATATATCCGAATTCAGGGCGCGGCTTACACGATCTTTTGTCGTTCTAAACAATTTTCCCTGTAAACAGTTTTCCCCCGGAGCTCAATCGATCACTTTTGTCCTACGTCGGCGTCGTAGTGCGGCGACGTTCCAGCGAGGAGCGATTTTACGGACGACGAACTCCGATACGCCCTCCCCCTTCCTCCACCCCTTCGTCGTACAAACTGCTAGCTATGATTCCACTGCAGGTGTCGGGTTTTCAAAATTCCCCCGGCGGTTTTGTTTGGATAAGAAAAGCGCCGCTTAAGTTACCTATCGCGAAGATATCGTGTCGCGTAAACAGATTAACCCTACGACCGACCCGCCATCCAACCTGTTAAGCTTATTAGGTCAGCATTTTTCCCCGAAGGTCTGTTTACATAGGACGAAAGAAACGATCTTTCTGAAGAGGAGGCTACTGTGAAAAGACCGAAGCATACTAAACACGATTCTATTCACACAAAGCGAAGAGATGACGATGAAGAAAAACCATCTCAGCTTCTGAGATGCGTGCAATTAATGAGATTACGTAATCGGATGGAGAAACGGATCCGTATGCAAAATGAGAAGATTTACCGGAGCAAGTGTTCGGCGAATACGACGGTTGACGGATAAAGGATCGATGCGAATTAGTCCGATTGCATGAGAAAAGAATGAATCGCGAGAGACCCGATTTCCCGTCGGCCACGTTCGTCGTCGCGAGATCACGGCGGTGGTCCGACGCGGCCATATCCCCCAGACCAATCGGCCGGCTCGTGTCTTATCGCAGTGGCGATCAATAAAGTCCCGGGAGGAGGAAAGAATCCGTTCTCCCTTCGCTGCCGCCGACGACGACGACGACGACGACGTCGTCGTCGTACCGCGACGCCGATGCGGTCGACGATGGAGATGGCGAAGGTGGCGGCAGTGGTGGCGGCGGATACAAGAGGAAGGGGCTGAAAGAAGCCAGGTTGCATAGCCGGTGGGGGTTGTGCGGGATGATGGTGGTGGTAGGACACGGAGTTGATAAGGGTTAATTTCGTACGAGGAGCCACGGTCGCGCGCATGAAAAGCGAGCGAGCAGGGGGAGAGGGGGTGAGCCTTGCGGTCCAACGACTGTGTCCGGTTGTGATTCTTGCGCCTGCCCCGAGTGACGTTCGTTCCCTCAGCGGTGGGTCTTTGCTCCTCTCTCGCTCACACCAATTACACCAACACATACACTTTCTCTCTTTCTTTCTCTCTCTCTCTCTCTCTCTTTTTCACATACGCACACACACGTCTCCTCTTTCTCTGTGTATGTGTTCCTCTCACCGTCTCTTACCCGACCACCCCCGCCGACGGCATTCGCTTCCGTTGTTCGGTCGCGCAAGCGCATTTCGATTTCGCCTCGCTCAGTCCGCATCAACGCCTCGGCGTAAACGTAACGCACGATCATCCTCGGCGGATCTTCATGCTCACATCGAGAGTCGCTTGCCGCCGAGATCGTAGCAGCTGAAACGTAAACTCACGCCGCACGTCTGAAGGCCGTTGTAGAGGTAGTTAAAGCGCTGAGGATGCCACCAGCGTCGGCCCTTGACGCTGCGTCAGTGAGATCGATGGAGAGTGGATCTATCCCGCGAAATCACGAATGTCACCACCTTTGTAGGCGCGCTCGTCCACCAGCTCGAGGAGCTCATAACGAGCGGTAACGATCAGAGCCGGCCGTTGATCAGAAATCATCGCCACCGGATTCGCTCAGGCTTATGAATAAGTTCGTTGCGACCCTTCGGCATTTCACGTCCCTCCTCTCGCAAGCGTATGGCGTACGTTTATTCGCAAAGTCATCCAGCGCTTTAATCTCCGCAATTCACGATTCATGTGTATCCATGCTGCGCTTAAATCCCTGCATTTGTATTTTTAAAGCGTGTCGAGTTAAATCAGTTTCATCACGTACGCTGATAGAAAATTATAATTCTTTTCGCCGGCAAACATATCCTTTTCTTTTATTTTAAGCGCAAAAATAGGAAGGAAAATAATTTTTCTAACAAGTGTTACTGATAATGTGCTAGTGATAATAATTTACACATGCGTTTCGCTACTACTGTAAAATATGTTTGGCGCCGAAAATACCTGTAACTTTCTATCAACGTATTTTAGCGTGTCCATTCAGACTTTTCGTCGCAGAAGAAAGATATTTCTTTTTTTTTTCGGGAAATGCGTTCACGGCGGACAAATAGTTTCCGTGAGAGAGATATCGGATCCGCGTAAAATTCGGTCCCACAAAATCAATGGCAATTACGAGCGAGTCGACAACCGAGCATCCTGTACTTAACCGAACAGCGTGGTGGTTGAAAATAGCCGCAAACGGCGAACTATATCTTCCAATTACTGCGTCGCCCTCTTTCATCGGGTTTAACGACGAGAACGTTTATTGCTCGAGCCATTGACTGCAGACATTCCGAGGAGCGACGGCGCGCGGGGGAGGAGAGGAGACTTTACGCGTTCGCGCGAAAACCCCGGAAGCCACAAAATGGATCCAAAGATTTTACGCAAATCTTCGTCCCCTTGGAAATCGGGTTAAACTGCCGTCGTCAGGGCGGACAAGTTGCCTCGCTTGCCACCGTAGATTCATTACTACGCTCACCCTCCTCTTTCGCTCGCGCTTCTCGTCGTTTTCATGCTTTTCCCTCTTCGCCGAGAATTATCTACTCGCTCCCCGTACCAATCGACGCGCACGGAGAATAATTATCCTCTGTAGGCTTACAGATAAAAGATCCCCTTAGCCCCTGTCGCCCCGCTGAAAACCTTATCCCTTCTCTTTTCTGACACGTCCTCGTAAATCACGGTAATTTGGAAGTACCGATGGCCCTCGCGGCGCTTCTTTCGCGCTGAATACGCGCAAATGACAGCCTCTTTACGCAGCGTAATAAATCTATTTCATCTTTTCATTATGCACAGTCTTATACTACAGTCTCTCTGCAAAGGTTTTCAAACGGCTCCCGACTTTTCATTCGCGCTTTTCTTTTTTTTTATTCAAGTGCTACAACAACTTATACTTCTAATTTTACTCCGTAATCCATTATCTGTGCAGTCGGCATAATAAAAGTCGCAGCCCTTTCGTTCGCAATGCTTTCGATGTCCAATAAGAGAATTCGTTTTTTAGTAATTCTCAGGAAATATATCATCCTGTTGGATACGAGGTGCAAAAATTCATTGAGAAAAAAGTGTTGCAACTTTTATTATGCCGACACTTTTATTATGCTGTACACGATAAAAAATTTGGTATTAAATTAACACATCTTACATGTCCCAAACGATCCAGTCACAATTTTTGTATTAATTTAACACAGAGTAAATGTGTTGAAAAACACAAATATTATGTCAAAAACACAAAATTAATATGATAAGCGACACTAATATATAAAAAGTGTTATTTAACACTTACGCGTGTTTGAATATCGATACAACACAAAATGTTGAGATAACATAAACACAATATGATATATGAATACACGGGTATGTAGAAAAAAGGTTAACATTATTTTAACAACGACCGATTTTAATGCAAGTACAAAGTGTTTTTTTTTTATTGTGTAAATCTTGATTTTGATTTTAAGATTAAATATGTTTTGCGGCTTTTTGCGGAAGAAATTAAAACGCGTTGCATTATCATGAAATTTATCAATCTTCTTTATGTATGAAAAAAAAAACCGGCATTAATCGCGTGTCATGTAAAAAACTAATTCTTACTTTTTCAACGTGGCGTTTCTTCTTGATTTACTATCGACGATATTTCCACTTCGTGAAAGATACATACCGGAATGATAACACAGACGGAGGGGAAGGCCGACGTTTTAAACAGCGGAGAATTAAAGCACGGAAATGTCGGGCTAAATACGATTTAACCTTGCGGCGGGATTTCAAATGGAACACTTGCTTCATTAAGGAGCTTGGAACGTCGCCTGAATAATAAGCGAGAAAGCCGGCACCGGGGTTAGAGCGAATAAGTCGTATTTTAATTTCTACAGCGCCGGGGACTTATCGTCTTCCACAATTGCGCTCTGAACGGGAAAAGCCTTTGTCGATTCAATTTCAAGTAGATGCCAGCGGATCGAAGATAATTGGATGCCGGCCCTGGTTTATTAAGAGATACTTTATTGGCATGCGCAGATGGTCTCAGCAAGAAGAAGAAGAGGAAACTAGGAGGCGGCATTTATTCCGGCGTCTCGGTTTCGCAACTTCTGGCACAACGGGAGAGAGCTATTGCCGCGGTCGCGGCATCTGGAGTTCAAGGTTCACCGGTGCCTAATGGATCGCAGGTAATTGAATGGTAGCTTTAATTGAATCACAAATTATTTGAATCTTTCCCAAGATGGAGAATTATGTTTTCGCCATAACACGCGTTTTGCATCAAAATCAATTCGTAATATCCTTGTTACTTTGTGCTACTGAATAAACATATTACCGTACAATAGTGATATTATGTAATATACATATGTACTCAACCGACTGTTTGCGCAAATATATTTACGAGCGATTATTCGATTTTTAGGTATGGCCAATTGCGATCCCGAATCTGCAAGTCCAGCAAAACGGCCAACAAATCTGCCATCAGTCTTTAAATTCGCCTTCTCAAAATCACGATGTGAATAATTGTACAAGAAATCCTCAGCAGAGGTTAAATCAGCACAATATGTCGGGCATGTTGATGAGCAACCCGCTGATTATGAATCAGCAGGGGACGAACTTCAACAATATGACTCAACAACAGCTCCTCCAGCAACAACACCAACAACTAATTCTGCAGCAACAGCAGCAGCAGCAGCTCATTCAGCAGCATATATCGCAGCAACAGCAGCCGCAGCAGCTGCTACCTCATCAGCAACAGCTGCAACATATGCAAATTTTGCAACAGCAACAGGAACCGCAACATCAAAACACGGTGGTGAATCAATTGGCGCAACAGCAAACTCCTCATTATATCAATCAACTGAATCAGCAGCCGTTGCATGTAATGCAACAGCAGCAGCAGCAGCAACAACAGCAGCAGCAACATTTGAATCAACAACAACAGCAGCAGCAGCAGCTGCATTTGCAGCAGATTCAAAAGCACAACATGCAACAACAGCAGCAGCAGCAGCATTTAACTCAGGAAGAGGTTCAGCAGCAGTCGGGAAATTACAACTCTCAACATCCCACTGAGAATTACGTGCATCATATGCAGTCTACGCAGGTTCCGAATCAAACCGCTCTTCATCCGCAACTCCATCAACTTCACCAGCATCAGATGCAACCGCAGCAACAGCAACAAAATCAACACGCTATGCAGCCTCAGTCGACGGACCCCTTCCAAATGCAAATTCAACAGTTACAACAACAACAACAGCAACAACATCAGCAACAGGTGTGCATTCAGTCGCAGTATCCGAATCAACAGATGAATCATCACACCGTGGATGCCATGCAACAGCAGCCAGGCTCCGCTGTCATGACCAACGTCAACACTACGGACATTCAAAACAGGCACAGTCGAGCGCCATCGGTCACCGACGAGGACCTAAATGCTAAACAGTTACAGCAACAGCAGCAACAACAGCAGCAACTCTTGTTGCACAATCATTCGATGCAGCGACATCACGTAGTGCAAAATGGCGGCTTGCAGAGCAGCCCCCATGAGAACGTTCAGCGGATGTACACTCAGAATCAAGTACAATATCCGGTGAGGAGCTTCGATCCTTCGAAGGGGACGAATGCGGACGGCAAGATGGGACACCAACAGCAATTCGTTCTGTCGAATCACGCGGGAAGAAGCCCGAACGCCAGTCACGCCGTCGAGGCGCAGTCTGGTATGGGACCAAACGGGCAGTCCGGCAACATGCATTTCAACAACAGAACGCCACCGTGGCAGCAGAATCGGCCCGCGGTCGTCTCCCATCAGCCGTCCCTCGTCACGGTGCAGAATATCAACTGCAATTCGTTCGACCGCGTGCCACCCCTCCATCATCACATTCCACAGGCCTCCACTTGGACCGACGAGGCCGCGCGGAAGAAGGCGAAGTCGACTAAGATAATCGTGAAGAAGCAACGCCAGCACGGCGTCGCGGAGTCGAGGACGAACAACAGTCTGGAGCACTCGACGCCGAGTCCGGTGGACGAGTTCAGCGAGAAGAATCAGCAAAATAACGGTCAGATAGGTACAACGTTTAATAACAGCGGTCCTTCGTTCCTAGAGGATCCTAGCGGATACCTCGCCCAGCAGACGGCGCTGCTGAATAGTACGATATCGAGGCAGACTGGTGTCAGTAGCTCTCAAGTAGGCCTGATGAGTAGCAATCCGAAGTCGTCGCCCCAAACCAGTCACGGCATGCATGTGCCTAACAACAACAATAACAACAACAACGCCTATCTTCCTCAACCAAAGCCTTCCTCTATCGCCAGCCCTACGAGTACCTCGTCGTTCACTTCCGTGAAGAACCACGCGACCTCGCCGGTCGTCGTGCATAGCAGCATGACGCCGACGTCGAGCAGCAGCGGCACGGATTCCGAGAGCAGTCCGTGTCAGGGCTGCGTCACCAGCGCCGACACTCAGTCCTACATTCAGGATCAGTATAAGCAGCAGATGCACCGGCAGTACCTGATGCATACGGATCAGCGCGAGGACCCCGTCACGTCGTCGACGTTCGGCGAGAGATATCAGACGAGCCAACAGCAGGCCGACTCCAGGCCGATACAGGGCGGCACTGTGAGCACCAGCCACGGGTCTCCGATCGGCACGAACAGTCCCGCGAATTCGGACACGCCGGCAGCCTCTACGCCCGGTATCTCGCAGCCGGCGACGCCGCAGAGCCTCATCTCGTCGCAGCCGTCGACGCCGCACAGTTACTCGCAACCACCGACGCCTCACTCGCACGTCTCGGGTCAGATGCCGGCGCAGACCTTGACCCCGCAACAGCCGTCGCAGTCGTTGACCGGCGGCGGCGGCGGTATGCAGGAACAGAGATCCGAGACCCCGTGTTCCGGCACGATGAGCTCCAGCGGGATTCCACCTAGCACATCGCCATCCCAAACGTCCTCCTCTACGCCGGACAATTTAGCGCCCCAGGTGAAACGGCAGACAACGACCAGGCAGAATTCTCTCGACGGTTACCAACCTCACCCGCACACCGTCAATGCAGTGTCCAGGATGCCCATCAACACCTTCGGCGGGACGTCGTCCGTGATAACAACCATGGCGAGCAGTCACACGGTTAGCAGTAATACGATCACGTCGGTCTTAGCGGGTAGGGCGAACACCGCCACCGTCTCCATAAACACACCGTCTGCGATACCGAATCCTGCCCTGCCGAATCTTCTGCCCAACAAGCCGCAGCATCAGCCGGCACAGTCCACAACGTTGGGAAATGCACCGGTTACCACTCATTCCTCTGTCCCGCACAATCAATCTTCGACGATGAGCGTATCCAAGTCGCCGCTCGAGATGGTCCAGAGCGTCGTCAGTAGCATACAAGTACCTCAGGCGAACACGAACTCGTCATTGCAGCCACAAACGCAACAGCAGCAACACCACCACCATCAACAACAGCAGCAGCAGCAGCAACATCCTCAGGCCAACGTTCAGGTTCATAACGTCCTCACTTCCGGAGGGATACTGAAGCATCCCGCAACTTCGACGTTACCACCCGGTCACATACTGGTGTCCAGCGGCGGTCAGCTCATCATGGCGAGCACCGGCTCGGCTATAAACGGCGTTATGGCGCCTCCACCGCCGAAAATCATATCGAACGCGAATTCAATGCCACCGCTGTCGGTGTCGCCGATGGTGACCAGCGTGACCGGAGCCGTCAGTCAAGTCATCCCCGCGGTAGGGGTGGCTCAGCAAGTGATAGGCCAGCCGACGGTGCTGGTGAATACCATACAGACACCGGTGCTGATACAACCCGGCGTGATGACGATGGATGGTATAAGTCAGAACGTGCAGATACCGCATCTGACGGTCGCCACCGGCAACGTGATACAGAACACCCAGTCGATCCTGGACGCGAATCAGGACGTGTCTCGGACGGTCGGCGCCAACCAGGGCATGGTGAATCGGCAGCCGGCGCTGCTGTCGCCGGAGTCGGCGATGACGAAGAAGAAGGCGTACAAGAAACGCAAGACGAATCCTCAGACCGTGGCGTCCATGTTGCACATCGCCTCCTCCCAGCAGAACGCCGGCATGCTGATGCAGTCGCAGTCGAACTTCGCGCAGCAGAACTTTCAGGCTCAGAGCATAGGCGGGCCCATGCTGCAGGCGCTCACCATCGTTCCCGGGAAGGGTGGAGCGCCGGCGCAGCTGGTGATGAACGGGCAGACCGGCGCCGCGTCCGCGCAGTTCAACGCCCAGCAGATAATCACGAATCCCCAACCGGCGCAGCAGATCAATCTCCTTCAACCGGTGAATCTGTTGAACGGCGCTACCGGGATGGTGCAGAACTTCCCTACCATTCAGCAGTTCATTGTGCCCGGCTTAGGCAGCATGGTGATGTCAGCCGACGGGACGGCCACGTTGCTGCAGGACACCGGGAACATCGGGATGCAGCTGCAGATACAGAACGTCAACGGTCAGAACGTGCTGACGCCGGTGCAGAGCCACGGCGGCATCTTCAATCCGAGTCAGAGCATATTGGCCGCTGGTCCAGCCGGTATGGTGATACGGGCGCCGCAGGCGACCGGCGGCAAGATCATCCAGCAGCACAGTCCGGGAGCGCAGTTCCTGTCGCCCAACAGCGGCCAATTCTTGGTGAACGGTACGACGTCCTTCGGCAATCAGCTGAGCCCGATAGTGGCGAACGTCAGTCCGAATCAGCAGGTGACGTTCAACGCCTCGCAGGTGAGACCGCCGAACATGCAGGGCCAGCAGGAGTTCATACAGATGAACGGGCAAACGCTGATGGTGCCCTGCGGCACCGCGCAGAACATCGCCGTGTCCTCCGCGTCGAATCAGCAGAACACCACCTTCGTCCAGCAGAACACTACGATCGTGCAGCAGCAGACGACCATGGTGTCGAACAATCAGATACCGAACTTTCAAGGGGCGACCTCGAACGCCGGGCAAACCGTCGACCCGTCCCTGAATCTCGACCACAATCAGTCGTACATCCTGAGCTCCGGTATGATCCAGGGTAAAGCGTCCTCCTCGCCCAAGAGCGGCGTCAATTCGCCGTTGTCCGATCCGAACGTCGAGCAGCAGCAGTACGTGCTCGCGAGCAGCAGCACCACCGTCGTGGAGAAGACGGCTTCGCAGAACGAGCAGCACAGTCCGCTCATGGCGAGGCATTCCGTGTCGACTCAAACCGCCGGCAATCAAACGAACGTGGCGCAGTCGGCGATGATGCGGCAAGGATCCCCGCCCGACACGACCACTCACAGTCCGGGGAACAGCCAGAGGTCGAACAGCCCGGCCGTGGACACCACCACCCACGGCGCCGCCTCGCCAGCACCCCCGATCACCGCCAGGCATCATTCGTCGTCCACGGTAAAGAGCGCGGGGTTGTGCCGTACATTTTAAGACTGCGTGGATGATTCACCTACAGTCCGCGTGGATGTTTACACGGACTTTTTCTCACGTAATCTATGGTGAAATATGATGAATCACGGTGCGAAGGGAAAGGATAAATTACTAGTTTAAATGATCAAATAGCTCAGTTATCCGGTTTTTATGTTAATTATGAAGTATTTAACATTGAAAAGTTCATAGATGCGTTAACACGGAAATTCCGCCATTTAAAATCACTCGTTGGCTTTTTAAGCGGAGGAAGGAAAGGGGAATAATCTCGCTGAATAATCATCACGCAAATGTGCTTGATTTTTCAGCCTATGGTTCATTGCGTCTCGAGCAGCGAACCGGACTCGGGCGACGCACAGGCCGCGTCGGAGGATTGGAGAATTCAGGGTATCACCACCAAGGAGATCACATTGAACCAACCGAGTCTGCACGGAAAGACCTACGTGGAGTCGACGGTGACCACTGGGATCCAGGTTGGTACCCACGTAGAGCAGGTCAACCGTCATCTAACTGTAATAGACATGCACCAGCCAGCCGATACGACACACCCAGAAAACACATACGCTGACTCACAGGAGCATATGGACACATCATCACCAAATCATTCCATTAATTCAGACACAATGGACCACTCTGCCGTGGAAGATCAACTGAGCAACAGTAAAGAAATGACGGACGTTTCTTATTCGGAGATAGAGGTCAATCCGTTGTCAATGATAGGTCACGGTCATTATCAGCCAATCCTCTATCACAGCCAGCACTATGTCCCTAGTGCGAACGTTTACCGACAGCAAGCCTTAGTGCCAGATCATGCTCATTACACCATGTTACCGGAAGTTAGCAATAAGCTCGGCGACAACCGCGCCGGTAATCACCAAATTGTACAGCATGTCGTCGAGCAAGACGAGGTTGATCAAAATTCCGAGGAGAAGCCGTTGGAACGGCATAACAGCGGCGTACCGTATTGCCCGCAAAAGTTCGTCAGCGTCGGCATCACGCCGTCCGACCTCTATCCGCATTTGTATAATTATAGGTCTGACCCTAATGGCATTGCTGTTGTTAATTATTCACCTAATAAGCCAGCCTACATTAATCCATACGTATACAATCAATTCGTATATGCGCAAGAAGGTGACGACGTTGAGGAGAGTGATTCATCGTCGGACGAACAATAGTATCTTTCTTTTCCGCGCGCGGGCTATAAAGTTGGTTGATTTTGTAAATGGATTATGAAAGTTAGACACACATCAGTGGCATTATTAGGTTGCGATCGAATTACACTCGATAATATTAAGTTTGTAATTAGTTTGTATTTAACGTTAATGATTTTTACACCTTCATTGTGGCGTGTGAGAGCGCTCGTACGCTCGTTTTATTCGTAGTGTTATTATTTAAATCCTACATTGCAATAATGTAATTGTATTATTAACGGTGTGTTGACGAATTAATCAGGAAATCGCTCCTTTTTATAATAGCGAAAAAATAAATTTTTGCTGAACAATATCCTTCTGATAAAAATCATATAATTTCTTAATGAACATATACCCGATAAACGAAAAAAAAAAAAAAATACCTTGCAACGAGCATGCGTAAGCAGAGTTTGAGTTTGTCTCTTTGGTATCATTATCGTTTTTGCATGCGTCGATGAATCAAATAGGAATATGCCGCGTGAATCCTGCATCGAAAGCATCGGAGACATCGCAGTTCGAGCGCGACAAATTTTTCATTTCACCGTTACATTCCTTTTTTAATTTTGTTTCGCTCTTCATGCTACATTCATATCGCGTCCCATCGGCTTTGTCTCCTGTGCTCGCTCGAGAGACACCCGTGAGATCCTTGCGGACCACGCGTGAAGCGGGGTTTAAGATAAAGAAAAGACAATACATCGGCACTGATACATTGAAATGATATTAGCATGCGATTGGTAGGCTTGTGCCTGAGTTGATCGAGTTGTATTTGACAGATCTATACGTCAGAGACGTTGAAGCAAGCCGAAGGTGTGGTGAGCACGGTGAGGTGCGAGGGCAGGGAACATGCCCTCGGCCGCGGAATCAAGCGAAAGCTGGACTCCATCCATTCCATGCATTCTACTCTGCATGAAGACCAAGATGGTCAGTATTGTATGGTACTCTTAGACCTTAATCGTATATACAAGTAGTTGACAGTACTTCCGCTTAGTAGCAAAAGTATTCTGCGAAGAAACTTTGATATTTAATCCGAACGCGACGAGCAGAGCGGTAGTATAGATCGATATCTGAGCTTTCAATGTAACCGTGTATCATACATTCAAAAGCAAGGAGAGAGGGAGTATAATTTCAAAATTGATATATCTGTACTTTTTACTGTTTTGGATATTCACTTGCTAATTAATTTATATATATATGTATGATTTCGCGGTGAACATTGGCTGAACGTTTCTACGAAGCATGTTGTAAAAAAAGTTTCTTTGTCAGGATGTTTTTTGCGATTTGTTCTTCGCGACAGTGAGCAACGTGAAGCATCGATTGTTCGGTACATCGATACACGTCAAGGTTTTCACGGGCAGAAGACGACGACGGTGCTTCCCGTTGCTCCTCGTCGCTGTGACAGTTATCGGACGAATGTTATTATTAAGAGTGCTTCCTCGTAGTACGCCTTTGTTCCTTAAATCGTTTGTAACTTAGATAAGTGCATGCCCGATAAATTATCTGATCATCGGCGCGCGATCTAACTCGGTACGTCATCACTTTGCCTCACCATTGGTTCACTTATTGCGCTTGTGCATGCTTGGTAATGTCGTTGCATGGCGAGGTGTGCGCACGTCCGCGTTGCTTTTCACGTGGCTTCGTCGCTTCTCTCGTATAGAGCAGCTTCTCGCTCTTTCTCTCTTCCGCGAACGCTCGGGATTCCAGCGTTAAAAAAGCGGACGCTGGATCGCGCGAGCGACGACTCCTGCGTCGCTTCGCATTCTCGCGACTTCACACACCGGAAACCATCCGCTGTATCATGCGAACCGAGCACTCGGTGGCCGAGCTCTCTCCGAGGCGGTCTATGCTCTCCGATAGCGAGCTATTATTCGTCGTAACGATTCGTCGCGTTTATCAATCACGTTAACGAGATGTCGAGAGGAGCAGGTAAGTGGCGCCAGTTTGCTAAAAAAAACGAAAACGAAAAAGCTCTTTCGTTCATCATGTGTACGAGAGTCACCGACACATCGCTTGCGGGAATGAAGAAATAACCGTTGTGACATTTGTAAATAATGTCCTGGAAGGTATTTTTTTGCGTTTACTAATTGGCTGTCAGGTTTGTTAATACCATTACCCTCGCAATTACATTCTCATCCGAGTGGCCAAGGGGCTTGAATCATACGTTCATTTCGGAAGGGGTGTGGCTCACTACCGTGTGTTATCTCGACGTACCTTGTACATAAACATCCTCATGTTACATGTACGGCATGCGCATATGTACTCCCGAGGAGATAAGGCGGTTTGTTCTTTTTTTCTCTCTCTCGAGTTGTCACCGCACACTGTCTACGATCGAGAAACGTTCACAGTAGAATTGGGGAGTAAAGATAAGGTGCTAATGTCAGGTGTTGATGATTAAATCGATCCTATATTTAGGATTATGTATCTAAGACAAGTGAATGCAATTGTTCAACTTAGATTTAACATCGGATCAATGATTGTACAAAAATGAAAATGGATTTCTATGTATTCTTCTTTCTATTTCGGCGTTAGAAGAGAAATGAAAAATACGATAATGTGTGCATTAGTTAAATAATTAATTGTTTAAATAATTGTCCAAAATTTTAAACGCTTTGGAAATGTAAATTTTTGCATCGCTACTTGTATAGATTCGATATTTAACATACAGTTATTGTACATACAAGTTTCTGCAAACGAAAAATTTAGAGAACAAAAGAAGTAATATTCACATTGACAAGATCATTGCATGTGCTCGTACCATCTGATATTTCATACCGCCTCTGATCTCGCCTACCACCATTGAATGAAGCTACTAATCATTTTTAACGAGCACACATGCGAGCAAGAAGCACATTATTACTACTGAACGAGTAGTTCAACCATCAGTTTCGAACATCCCTCTGCGACACGCACCATAAGCATACCGGAACGTTTTGCTATTATGCGTTGCACACCTTAATCGAGACTAATACAGATATATCAGGCAGAAACTGCGCGGTCTCGTGTCACGATATGCCGTGCAAAACGCAATAGCGTACACATCGTTGTAAGATAAATTCAAATCAATTACAGCACGAAATGAAATTTTGATAAATAATTCGTGCCACTCCGGTAATTGCGGCATTACAAACAATTGTACCGACAAAGTATTTAATACGTAGTATTGTGAGTCCTCGAAACAATCGATATTTGAAAATAAAGTGTAAGATCCGTCGAGATGTATTTTATCGTCAATATTCCGCGAATAAAATTGTTCTGGCGAGAAAAAAAGTATCACCGTCAGTTCTTCACAAAAATCGAAGATATCCTTCGATTACTGCGAAATAAATACGCGGTTTTCCTTAATCTCGTTTCGTGATTTTGACGTTTCTTAAAATTACGTCGTCAGCAGGAGTCCGCGACAGTTTCCTATCTAATGTGTCTGTACGAGAAGTGTTTTTTTTTTGTTTCGGACATGGGCTTTCTTTATGTCACTTTCTTTTCTGAATCACGCGAAATCAGCCGCAGTCAGCCGAGATTACAAGTCTCTGAAAAATACCGTGCCTTGTTTGGAACCCCCAGTAGCTGAGACAAAGGACGTAGACGACGGGAACCAATGGAAACTGATGGTCGGTGAGCTAGTGTGGGGCGCAGCAAGAGGAAGTCCGGCCTGGCCGGGGAAAGTCGAGTCTTTGGGCCCTCCGGGTACAATGACGGTTTGGGTCCGATGGTATGGGGGCGGGGGCAGTCGCACCCAGGTCAATGTCAAGACCCTCAAGTCCCTCTCTGAAGGCCTCGAGGCGCACCATCGCGCCCGTAAAAAGTTTAGGAAGTGAGTCGCCCACCCCGACAGGGATGAACTATTCAAAAGATGAGAGCCTCTTTAAAAATGTTGTTTTTTTTCCACAATATATTTCGCCGAGACGGAAATTGAGGGGGAAATAGAAGGGGAGATGCTTGAGTGTTAGTTACTAAATTTTTTTCTTACGTTCGGCATACTTGGCTTGAGATGATGTGGATCTTTTCGCGTCTCAATTCGTGTATTTATTTTTAGTCTTACATTAAATATCTCAGAAAAGTTCATTAGGCCACATTATCTTTCAAGATAAATTCACAGGACGCACGCGATGTTAATTTTATCGTGTTTAAATTAATCATAGTCACATGGTCTTCTCTTTTTTAGGAGAGAAAACAGACGAAAATCGATAAGTGCTATATGAAGTATGTGTTTGCACGGGATGTTTTTTTTTATCGCTTTATATTGTACATCTTAATGATATCATATGATATATTCCTTGGCCATTTTCGAGAATCGGTTATTAAAATTTAACTCGAAAAGAAATGCTCCAGCTATGCGAGTGCTTACCACAGTAATGAATGCATTCTAACGTAGCTTTAAATTTATTAAATTCCTTCCTTCTTCGGAAGAAAGCTCTTGCATACCGTCGATGACTGTAATTATAGCATTTATTAGCAAGCCAACAGCCAATTAAATCTATCTTGCACAGCTTATTGCGTATCTGTGGTTCGATATTCTTCTTATTAACTCGCCAAAGGATATCGATACTCTTATTGATATATATATAAGTATATATACATACACACATTTATATGCTGTGGGTATTAATATGTTAAATGATTCCGTTCTGATCTCAACCATCTTTCTTTTTATATTCCCCTGTCTTTTCTATTCTGTATCGTTAAATATTTAACTGTAACACACGATCACGTGGAAAAAGAAAAAGATTGGAAACGTCAGTATTAATAAATCCGTGCGTTTTTCTTCTTTCTCCGAAAAAGTCTAAATCACCATGGTTCGCGGTGTTGCTTCTCGACGAGAAACTATGCGCGTTATAATTTTAATCTAGCCGTATCGCCATTTACTGATGCTTGACAGAACCCTATTTTAGTCGCGACTGTGTTTAGCTTCTAGATCCACGATTTCACTGTTGTCTGATTGGTCGGCTCGCACGTACCGGTCGCTGGTAATCATCTGTACTAACTGTACGATTTTCTCCTTCCTCCCCTATTTTTCTAGAAGTCGTAAATTGAATATGCAATTGGAAAACGCGATACAAGAGGCGATGGCGGAACTGGACAAGATGACGGAGGCCTCCAGCGACCAGAAAAATATGAAAAAGTCGCCGAAGGTGACCTCGCTGCCGGCCACCAGCTCTAAGGGTGTCAATAGCGCCGGCAAATCGGAGGCCAAGAGATCGTCGAAGAGGTCCGTGGCTACCGTGGATCATGCCAAAATCGAACAGAAACAATGCCGGTGATCCATGTCGATCATGGTCGTTTAATGCATCGGTACGAATATCGGCAGTCGATGACTCGCAAATCGTGAGGGAGCATCGAAGATCGTTGCGCAGAAATGTAATTAGCCGGCTCATTCAGTTTAATAAATTACCGACGAATTGATGAAATTAGACGTTCTCCCAATGAATCACCGATGATCAATTTCTGTTCGCTTCGAACGAGCCAAGTCGTAACTCGCGCAATCTTTCGCTCGCGTCCGGATTCGTGTTGTCGATATGCAAAGCGTATCGCGTATCTCAAAACCTACTATTCATCGCTTAGAGGCAATTTTATCAGTTTCAATTTTATCACAGGTACAATTTCGCGCGACAGATAGAGATTTGATCACGCGTCACTATTCTAACTCAACGACGGCTCAAGCGAGAAATCTATTGGTGGAGAGGCATGCGATATGCTATGAAATTATTGCGTACGGATCACCTCAAGCATGTCGCATACTGAACCACGGTGATCGCTGTGATTTACTGCTCTCAGACAAGACATTCGCTGCTCACAGTCAAGACATTCGGCGGAATCATTCACGAGGATTTTATCTTCGAGCGTGATCGTACACACGTAAACACAGTCTTGCTTCTAAACGTTGCAACTTTTTGCCATTCATACAGTTTAACTGATACGCTTCGGGACGCTCGCAGTATTGTCTGATTATTGTACGGAGAGCGTCTCTGGATTATAATCAAAAGTACGTCTATGATTTGCTCGAATGAGAGAAAGAGTTTTCCTTCGACGCGAAATCAGCGGATCGTGGGAACGCGACGCTAAACACACAGTCGTATTACAACACGGTCTCTATCTCTCTCTCTCTCTCTTTCTCTTTCTCACGCGTGAGAGTGGCATCGGCGTTTTCCTTTCTCGTAAATTCACCGACGAAGCCTAAGTAGCGTAGGAATAAGTATTATCGGTTGCAACATCCTCAGTGCATTCTTCTGTTTGCGACCAGCGGTATCCATTTGATAGGCGAATGTTCGAGCGTGTAAAATTGCAATTGCATGATTAATGGCGAGATACAGTGAGAAACACTACGGCCGATTTACTGTTGTACGAAATAGGCCTACGGCATACGTTCTTAAATTATATACCCCACATGTGTGTATGTAATCATGTACAGAGAGAGAGAGAGAGAGAGAGAGAGAGGGAGCGAGAACAAGACGATGAAACGATAATTTTCCACAGGCATTTTTGCGCCAATAAAAGCACATTCGGTCACATTTCTCATAGGGACGCATGGTTTTGTCATGCGGGTTTTATTCAACGATTACTCGTCCGCATATTCCGTTAACGCAAAGTAAGACGAGCGAGGCAGCGTTTTAAATGCGAATGCATTTTATGCAGGCGATGCGTATTGAACGATCTCTCAGTTACGTGTGGTTTTTACAGTTTTCACGCACGCTGAAGTCGGAATCACATGAGTGTTTCCTAAAGGTAACGTTACTCGTCCGTATCCGAGAGCGATCGTACAAGCACACACATACACAGATACACAACGCATACACACATATATACACAGGAGTATAGTTTTAAAAAGATATTTTTGCGAATGAACCTCATTACCCATAGAGAGTAACGCATTTTTTTAGAGGGCTATACACGCGGAACGCGAGAAACATTGTTTTACCGCGATAACGCCGGGCTACAGGCTCGTCGGGACCGTTTTAAACCTATGTATCCGCATACGCAGGACGCTCTTGACCTGCGTGATCATTTTTTCAACGATGTTCCTCGAACTCTGTAGACCTGGGGCACGCTGTGACTGAATAATTGACGGGTCGATTTTGTATATAGTAATGAAGCGACCGGAGTCCGCCGCAGAGCGCGGTACATCCGCGGTTTTTAACAGGTAAACGCGAGCAACTGATTTTTAACCGTTGGTTTATATTCATCCACATTTCTCCACGTCACGGCGTATTCGTGTTACGTGACATGTGGCAAATTTCTACTCGAGTCTCTAGATCGTTTGAAAAAAAGTCACGTAACGCTAACGATAAATTAATCGAAACGGAACTTCGACGTACGATTTAGAATATCGATCTCGAGTTCCCCGAAAGATTCTCTAGGTTCCTTTCGCCTTTCGTTTCCCTCCTTTGCAATTATTAGGTCGGTCGAAAGATTCGGTTCGAATTTTTCGGAGCATTATCGAGATAAATCGGGTAACACGTTCGCACACACGATAGACAATAAAATAGATGCAAGTATCAAAAAGGGATCGCGCGGTTTTTGATTCACGTTTATCGCGACTCACGACCTTTGATTTGCCCGAGGGAAGTTCGCGTGCGTCCTGAATCCTAATCGGTGCCGAGAAACACCGGAAACGTTCGCTGCAACCGCACCGGCCGCGTAAAGACACTTAACTACAAAACGGGTCCGTACAGACTTTCTAGTGTTACATTACGCCTGTAAATATGCCAACGGTGATGATAATTAAGTCGTAATAACGAATATAGCGCAGATGTGGTGGAAAGGCCGAGGAGTTCACGAGTAAATAGCTAAATCGTTTAGGAGAACGCACGCGACGAATCCGTAAGCTCAGGTCTGCTCGTGCGATTGAATCGGAGCTATCAGCTATATCAAAAGAAAACTGCTTCACTGTGTGTATCCGTGAGTTGACATCGCATACCTTTCGCGAAAGGCGGTCTTTCCGCAAATAATAACGTCTCGTCCGAGCCGTATGATTTTCGGTCTTCTTCAGCGAAACGGAAAGAAAATTGTTCAAGTTGCGTCTTATTTTGAAACGATTAGACTTTCGTGTGTATGAAAAAAAAAAAAAAGGATCGTCGAAGTTTTTACGAAGTATACCCAGAATATTTTCCTTCGTATCGCGTTAATCTTTTCTGCAATAGTGACGTTTGACATACATACACCTTGTATATCACGCTGTAAGACAAGTTTCATGGTTAACTCGATTTCTCTATGATTTCGACGTAGGCCACTTTTATAAGCGTCAGCGCGAAATGTAGACCATCTAAATGTTCGTGTAAATATCAGGATCTTGCAAAACGTCGTTGGATCGTCTATGATTTCATTGGCTCCAAAGATGAGTCATTTTACAAGCGCGAAATCAGACGACAACCTGAAAGGTGGCCAAAAGTGGCAGATATATCGATTGAATCTGGTATGTACTGTTTCCTCAAATAAAAGAATACGACTAAAAATCCAACGGACTATCTTTTGCAAGCACCTAATATTGCGAGCGAGTTTCCCAGTGCGCGCTTCTACTTAAGGACAATTATATCAAAATAAATCAAAAGCACGCGATATCACGTATTACTGGCTAAGTTTCATAAATAAAAGCAAAAGAGAAAGGAATCTTCGACAGAGAGGAGAATCGTATTCTCGCTTCACGTGACACGGTTCGTAGCGTTTCATCGTGACCAAGCGCGTTGCATACGCACATGCGACGCGGCGTTTTATTTGATAAATGGCGAAAGACATATCACTGGCCGCGGATGAAAAAAAAAAATTTTTTCGATATCTGCACATTTTCAGCAAAACGTACCGTGCGAAAATGAAATAAAAAAAGTGAAAAGGAAAAAAATAAATCATAGAGACAGAATTTAAATACGTAAATGGCTGGCATCGCTGTACACGTACATAACACAACGGGACCGTTTAAAGTTAAGGTAATTTTAATTTTATCCGATTTTCTTCGCTCCAAATTATCTCGAATAAATCGGAGTGGTCGAGGCTCGTTTTCGCAAATCTCAGCAGCTACGAAATTTGTAAAAACTGATAGTAACTCGAGAATCTATGTATTTCGAAGTTAGATAAATTTGCTTGGGTTAGAATGATAATTATCTTGTAATTTTTACTGTAATTTAGTTACTCTCGATAATATTTAATTTTTTAATTATCCTACAATATTCTGACATAATGCATACGAAGAAATATTTATCGGCAGCTTACGCGCATTAAATATAATATTCACGCGCATTTCTCCGAAAAATGAAAGGCGATAATCGACAAAACGTGTTTCTTGAGAGCTCTTAGCCTCGTAGATGTCGACTTTTGCGAGAACGGCGCTCGATACGGCGCGTAGGTCTTCGCTAGTTTTTCTCTTCTAGGATCGATGTGAACCATAGCTTGCCGAGAGTACTTCTCCCTTCGCTCTCTCGAGCATGAAACGCGAGAGTGACCGTAGCTTAAAAACCAGTGAAAACTTACCTCAGTGACATACACGCAAGAATCAAACGTCTTAAAAAAAAAAAAAAAAGAAAAAAAGAAAAAAAGAAAGAAAAAAGAGAGAAGGGAAAGAATCGAGAATATATACTGTAGTGCCGCGATGTCCTTTGTATATTTTCCAAGATATTGTAAATAGATATACATACGCCTTATTGGTAAATCACGCCGTGCGACGTACGGTCGACGAGCGCCGTTATTTAATGCTAATGCGAATGTCGGCGGACGGTGTTAATTAAGTACATACGAGCTGTCGAGCGAACGATGTCGGGATGTGTAATATCACGCGTCTCCGTCAACACACAGCGAAAATTGTGGCTTCTAATTATTTCAATCGTCGCGACGGATGGGAAAGGGGGGGGGGGNAGCTATTTTATAAGAACATTCTTTACGGGTGTCGTTGCATGACGTAGATAGAATAACGTTTAATATACGCCACATTTTTATACAACGCCAAATGAAAGTAAAACGGGAGAAGTAATCCTTCAATTGATATTCTACCGCGCGCGCAGCTTACACGGAGACGTGTCCTCGACGTACGGTACGCTATTCCGTTCACGGTGAATCATTTCGTTCTTCGCATTTCGCTTCGGAAAAAATTTACCACGATCGGAGATAAATTTTCCTTTTGTAGAAGCAAACTTCATTCTCGATCGCTCAGCCAGCTCGACAGCGGAAATTTAACGAAGGGCCTAACATCGTCGCAAAATCGTGCGCGTCGCGTCGCGTCGACTGGACGGAGAAACACGACATAGCGTAGAGAGCTCGACGATTTAAAACGTGCAGACGACTATTAAATACGCGCGGCGAATCTTTTGGAGAACTATATACCGATAGTTATTGCGAGCGTGAGTGAGATTCACGAGATTTTCGGCAGATATTTATTGCTATTATTATTTATCAAAAGTAGAGTATATATATATTTACGGAGCGTTTCGTTCGCTTGTTGTGTTTTGAGAGAGATATAACGAAACGAGCATGCAGGCCACTTTTATCCCCTGTAACGGAATGTACCAGTGTTAAGCGCAAATGGATGTGTGTGACGGGAGAGAGTGTGCGTGCGTGCGTGTGCGAGCGAGCGAGAGAATCGAGGGACGACGAATATCGCGAGGGAGGCAGTGAACGGAACTTTTTAGCGAACGAGCACGATTGTAAGTGGCACCAAAAAGAATAAGAGACGAGACGACGGTTTTACCGGGTAGGAAAACGGACGACTTATCGCGATCGCATCGCCGATCGACAAATCTAGGGAGAAGCGCGACGAAAGAGATGCACTTTTGATGTATAAAATAAATATTATTGAGATAACATAGCTATATACCGTATTATATCAACTGTCAGTGGTATAACAATAAGAGATGATAATTTTATATTTACAAGATAGAGACCGTTAAATCTAAATGAGTGTAATATACATATGTACGATGAAAAACTACCCCCGCCCCCGTTCCCCTCCCAGCCCGAATCCCAACACCCGAAATCCACACGCTAGGACAAATTAGCGAAGAAGCTACCTTATTTAATATTTGGCATAATATTTATATATATATATAAATATAAATATATAAATATGAATATATATATAAATATATAAATATATATAAATATATAAATATATAAATACAGATATAAATACATATATATATACATACATGAGAGATAGAACATAAAGTAAAAGAAATAGTCTCGGGAAGCAATATTTGCCGGGCCCGAGGAAAAGTATGAAGCTATGTGATCCACTACTACTAGTAGCTTTTAGCTGTAAAGACTTATACTTTATTTTGTAAATTTTGTTTATACAATGTTTGATCGTTCACGCATAATACTATTGTATGTGAAACTAAGTTAATAAATCATTAACATGTGAAGTTGAATCTTGTGTGGTTTATCTTGCCGATGATTTTCGCGAATGGATAAGCTCTGTGTACCGCTCGTCCATCTTAATTTAACACGTTGAGTGCCGCGTTAATTTCACATGAGTTCCCATTCACGCCGCGTGAGCTATCAATAGCTCATGTTATCACATTTATTATAAGATATACCTTATAATATTTATAAGATTGTAAAAATCATTATTATATATATGTGAAGGAAAAGAGATAATATGAAATGTATGCGCTATATGCGGCCTGAACGGAAAGTCCAACGTGGGTCATCGATGGCCCACATGAAATTCGACGGGTGAATATAGGAGGATACTACAATACGTCTCGTCATTCCTTAATTGATATTAGTTATACAAGAAGGATCTAACAAAATTATGATTTTTGAAATTTTGTTACAAGTGGATATTCTATACACCCTTCTACGTAAAACAAAAAGAGCATACAAGTCTTATGGACGCCTAAAGTTAATTAAAAGACAATTTTTATTTTCTACTAATTAGGCCATTTTTATTGATTGCGTCTTTTTTACCTATTTTTTCAGAGTTAAGCTTGTCAACGAATACTCTTAAAAAGAAGAAAATGCTTAACTTCTTGAACGATTGTGAAGAACCTCAGTACTATTTACACTTTTTAAATTACATATCAAATTTTCACCTTCATTTTTCTCGAAATGTAGATATGATGTATTCCATGTGAGTTAGATCCTTCCTGCATAACTATGACCATTAAACATAACGTACCTGTATCCGTACTTGTTCGACATAGCAAAGTTTTTAAATTCGATTAATTAATTCAATTTGTCGAGTCTTTTCTATTGCGAATTCATGCGCGTGTATAGCTTAATAGTTTTATCGTGCAACCTGCATGAAACCCTCTATTGTGTTTTTGTTAAATAACATTGTTATTAATTTTATTATCAGAAAAGAAAGAGGTTCAGCCATGCGGAGATATAATGAAAAGATCTCATTCAGTGCAATCAATCATTGTTTGTAATGGAATTAATTAATAGAATTAATTAACCTGTCCGTGTAATATCGCTTAGTGAATAAATTTAATATCGTTTAATAATGGCACAATAATGGATAAAATAATAGTGGTTGAAGCAAGTGATGGTTTTGCATAGACGTGGCGAAACAGCGCCATCCATTGAGGGGTAGTTCAACTCGTATAGGAGGGTTGATTCGGACGATCAATCTGTATAAAATCTCATGTTATGCATGCGACATCAAATTTGCAAATTTGAGTTGCTCTTCAAATGCACATAACACGAGATACATATTACTATTTAATGTGTCAACATACTTTTTTTTTCTAATTCACGGTAAAGAAGATGAGATGGGGTAAAGTTGCCGACGCAACACCTTTCCGTAACACCTTTTCGTTGGCAATACTAGATGTCGGGTCCAACCCTGAGAAGGGACGAATGTTTAGAGCTTGATTTTGATAATGAAAATTAATTTGTACGTAGAAACATAAAAATCTTTTGTGTAGAGTAAGAATATTTTCTTAACAATGTAATATTCTCTTATCTCTGACAGAAAAATATTACTAGCCGTGAAAAACCGGCCAGTGACAAATTATTGTTGCTCAGTAGTTTTATTATTCGTACGAGTAATACAACTACTATTCATCACTGGCCAACTTATCACAGCCAGTAATGGTCTTCTGTAAGGAGATGCTTATAATTTTTAAGATCAAATTTTAATAACATATTAATGTGGCAATCGTCTCCTTTCGGAGATTATTCAGCGAATCCCGCGCGAGAAAAGGATTTACCTTTGAAGCGAAGCAGGAAGGATAAGTTAAGTGGATAAAGCGGAAAACCGTCGTTTTATTACGAGCCGTCCGCATCGAAAACAGAATCTCCCAGCATAATTTTCCGGTCTGCTAAAACAGAAAAGCGTCTGCATCGAATTCGCGGATGCTTAAGGAAGTAGCGGGCGCCGGGGAAAAAAGCGCTGTTTCACCGTTACTCGCGGCGCGCGAGGCACCGCGATCGGCGAATAATATGCACGCATATTGATTTTCAATTGAACGCTATCGGGGATTTATGATCCAGCCTGCTGTGAAATTTCCCTCGGTATCAAGTTATCGTTTGCGCGCGGCGAGGCATCGCGCGGCGGCAACTCTTAAATCGCACGGAGCGTCGCGGGATAAGAGTAAATCGCTCGCGTGTACAGAAGAGAAAAACGCGAGGCAGGGATTGTCTGTGTGTACCTGACGGGTGTACGGATCGCGTCGCGCAACGTTGACGACGACGCAGCCGTGGCACGCGAAACGAGACGCGCTCTGCGCCGCTTATTTTCCTCTCGAGAACGTGCACAAGCGTGTGTATTCGTACCCGAATACGTCGATATGCACGGGGACGCATAGTGTGCTCAGCCCAGGGTCGACGCTGAGGCCAATAGAACCGTTTTCCCGGAGGATCTAAACCGGCACATAATTTCGAAGCTGTACAATTGCCGACGCTGCTGCAGCGCGAGGCAGACGATGGGAAAGAATATTGTCGGTAATTATTGGCGTTTCCATTGTTACGAACGCAACACACGCCGGCATTGCGTTTCGATGGCATTGAAATTTGAGCTCGATGAAACTATACCGCCGTCTATCTCCTTCTCGCTTTCACCCAATCTGCCCTTGCGCTTGGGATTCGTGTAACAAAATACGATCGCAAGAATACGATCGCAACGGATATGTCATGTCGAGAGAATATTTGAATGCTCGCGATTGATACGTATATTACGAGTGGACGCGGGATGTATTGCGAGTGATTCGCGATGAATGTCCTCGGAATAATATTAGGATGTTATGAGGGCATCGTTATTTATCCTTCTCCGGGAGATATTTAAACCGCGGGAAAAATACGAGGTGGTATTTTTCAGGGGTATACTTATGACGCTATCGAGAAACTTCCGATATACTCGATACATTCTGCAAATAATATACTGTCAGACGGCTATGCACAGAGAAAAAGAATTATCTGGATTTAATAAAATTTCTTTAATTCGAACAAACTTGTTTTTCTTTTTTTTGGAATGGAGCAAACGAATGTTGGATTTAATAAGTAGGATTGTTTGGTTTCTCGAATAATAAATATATTTAAGTCAAATAACTAATTTTCTTCATATTTTCGTCCAAATATTACAATGGTTGTCA